TGGTCAGCGTCCGCTCATATCAATCATAGATACAACAAATACAGTACTTTAAAATTCATGATATTGAAACATAATAAAAAACAAAGTATTACTAGGACATTCATAAATTACATTAAACCAGGTTTAATTTGTATATCACTGTTTAGTTATGCAATTAGGGTTGTCTTCATATGACCTTAGCTGGCGCAGAGTCGTTTGACCCAAATATAAAATAAACAGCAGTTTTATTCCTCTAATTGAATACACGTACCTTTGCATCTAATGTGATATCTCCTTTGATACCCTTAAAACGGATATACATGTATAAACAATGTCGTTCAGCTTCGTACTGTTGTTTGTTTTATACGGCATTGTGAAAATCTATTTGTGGTGATTGTGATGAAGCGTTTACCAAACATCCGGTAGTCCTAGTGTCAGTGATAAAGCACTGACAACAAACGTCTGGACGACATTGTTTCAGTGATAAAGCGTTTATCAAATTTATGTTAGTCCTTCCGTCAGTTGTAAAGCGTTTACCACATGTCTAATTGACCTTTCGTTAGTGATAAAAGCTGAAGACAAACGCATTACAAACCCTGTTTCAGTGATAAAGCGTTTGCCTCATGTCTAATTGACCTTTCGTTGGTGATAAACGCTGAAGACAAAGGCATTACAGACCCTGTTTCAGTGAAAAAGCGTTTACCAAATGTCTAATTGACCTTCCGTTAGTGATAAGCGCTGAAGACAAACGCATTAGAGACCCTGTTTCAGTGATAAAGCATTTACCACATGTCTAATTGACCTGTCGTTAGTGATAAACGCTGAAGGCAAACGCATTACAGACCCTGTCTCAGTGATAAAGCGTTTACCATATGTCTAATTGACCTTTCGTTAGTGACAAACGCTGAAGACAAACGCATACAGACCCTGTTTCAGTGATTAAGCGTTTACCACATGTCTAATTGCCCTTTCGTTAGTGATAAACGCCGAAGACAAACGCGTTGCAGACCCTGTTTCAGTAATAAAGCGTTTACCACATATCTAATTGTCCTTTCGTTAGTGATAAACGTTGAAGACAGACGCATTACAGCCCCTGTTTCAGTGATAAAGCGCTTACCACATGTCTAATTGACCTTTTGTTAGTGATAAACGCTGAAGATAAACGCATTACAGACCCTGTTCAGTGATAAAGCGTTTACCTCATGGCTAATTGACCTTTCGTTAGTGATAAAGGCTGAAGACAAACGCATTACAGAGCCTGTTTCAGTGATAAAGCGTTTATCAAATTTATGTTAGTCCCTCCGTCAGTTGTAAAGCGTTTACCACACGTCTAATTGACCTTCCGTTAGTGATAAGCGCTGAAGACAAACGCATTAGAGACCCTGTTTCAGTGATAAAGTGTTTACCACATGTCTAATTGACCTGTCGTTAGTGATAAACGCTGAACACAAACGCATTACAGACCCTGCTTCAGTGATAAAGCGTTTACCACATGTTTAATTGACCTTTCGTTAGTGATAAAGGCTGAAGACAAACGCATTACAAACCCTGTTTCAGTGATAAAGCATTTACCACATGTCTAATTGACCTTTTGTTAGTGATAAACGCTGAAGACAAACGCGTTGCAGACCCTGTAATAAAGCGTTTACCACATATCTGGTAGTCCTTCCTTCAGTGATACAGCGTTGACAACAAACGCCTGATAAACTGGTAAAAATGCGCAAACCACACATACTTTGTATCTGTAAAAATGATAAAGCGCAGGCAGTCCTTGATTAAGTGCTGACCACAAATGTCTTGTATTTCTTTTGTCTGCGATAAAGCGCTGGTAATTCATAATCTGGCAGTCCTTCTGTCCGTTATAAGGCACTGACCATACGTCTGGTAGATATTGTGTCTGTGGTGAAACGCTGACCACACACATCTGGTAAACCTTTTGACGATGATAAATCGCTGAAGACATACGACCGGTAGTCCTAGTGTGATCATGTCAATCCAGACCTGACAAGTGTTCCCGTCCCGTGTCCCATTCTCCAGGGACTGAGGTCTGTCGGCAGTGTTCGAGAGTCAATTTACGTCTAGGACATCACTTAACATCACGCCAGACGTATATTTGACCATGGCCACTAGCATGGCTTTCCCAAATATAATTGCGATTTGGAAATGATCGTGAAAAAGATTATTGTAACGCAGAATTTTCGCTCCCGTTTTATTTCCGATATTTCGCCATTAAACACGGACCAAATGCCGTAATGCATACTTTATTATATAAAGTGAGAAGTAGGACTTTTTTTAGTATGGTAATCGAATCCAACACAAGGTGAAACTCGTGTTATATGATAACACGCTAATATGAAGGCGAAAATTTGGCGAGGTGAACTTGTAACATATTACATTAGTATCTAAATAAAAATGAAACAGACCAATTTATAACAGAAGTGCATTATTTATTCATTTTGATAAAAAAAATTATACATTTATTTGACCATGAAATGATACGGAGTGCATATGATAACGTGCAAGAAGCAAACATTTTGAGCATGTAAAATCGTATGAAAACAGTCTATATAATGGAATATATAAAGGGGAACACAATAATGTACCACTTATAGGTTCGAACATAAATTAAGGAAAACGTGGAATGACGACATCATGTCGTGTGACTTTATACACAGATTAACGGAAAATATGTATTTTGACGTCCTACCAACATGTGACGTCACAATTTCGCATAATGTAGGAATAGTGTTTTGTAATGTCACATTGCAACACAAAACAGAAACAATGTTTCATTGACGTAATAGTGTCAAACAAAAAATAAAAACCATGTGGGCTGACGCCAGAGCACAACACAATGAAGAACAGAATGCTATGTGACGTCATATTGTCACATGACATGGAAACAATGTGCTTTGATGTTTTGGCGTCAAGATATTTTTCACCAGTAATAAAGGTAAGAACTGAGCAAGCGAAACAACAAAAATCAGTAATTACGTGGAACATAGGTTTTAACTGCAGGTTAGGTATGTAAAATATTTAATTCTTACATCATAACGCTACCTGAGCAAATATTTTTTGCTAACTGACTAATTTACACCGTTTCAGATAGTTTTAGCAACATAATTACTTCCGTAAATTGCTGAAAATCTTCCGGAATTGACAATTGTGTTTTTACTATTTGTTCAAAAACAGAAATGTTTCAGGGCCTATTTTATACTCAAACCTTGCACTTGGTTTCAATCTCCTGTTAAAGACAACTGTGATTCCCGATTAAAAAGATAATAATAAAATAATAAAAAAACTGGAACCCGACCCTTCAACATTTATAATGTAATACAATTGAAATCCAATGGGTTCATATTAAATCTTTACTATAGTTTACTCGTACGGCTAATGGCTCGTGCGATTATCTTAAAAATATTAAATTAAACTGGAAACTATTGAATATCCTTTATAAATTTTACCGATATTACTACATAGTAGATGGGAAAATCACAACCTGGCGGAAAAAACCGTTTCAGTGACAATGCTTTTCTGATATCTTAATTTAGAAATAGATAAGTAAATTCTAAATATTGAGAAGTTTTGTACCTCCTACATTTTATTTGAAAAGTAGCGGTTGAATTTGATAGTAATGAAAAAAGTCGAATTTCAAAAATAATGAACTTTCCGGGTATTTTTTTTATATCCGGTGATAGAGTACTGATGATATGTATGGGTATTTACAGGGATTCCACGAAGAGAAACATGCTGAGTAGGCGAGCCCAGGCAAACATAGGGTATGGCTATGTTTTCTATACATTAACACCGACCTTAGGTCATCCCCACAACAGTTAAAACCAATCACACACTGACACAGGAAATTCAAACTTTCTTTAAATTTACAATATATCAAACGATACCAACCCCACTTCCATTATAGCATGCCTATAGTTACAAGTAAGTGGCATACTGGTAGCGATTTTAGAGTCGAAATATAATTACATTACAAGTGACCAAATTACATTTGTTAGGTGATTTCATTTATATCGTGTTAATAAGTATTTACATTAATCAAATTTAACACTGACGCGGGTATCGTTATATCTGACCCTTTTTTACACACGCATACAAAATCATACAATCACATACATTACACTACAATCACAGATATACACCACAATCACACATACCCAGATATACTAAACGTGTTACATACTTTCTCTCGAGACCCGTGTATCTCTTGGGAAACCGATTGAACATAATTTGAGCAAAATGATTAATAATGATTGGGTTTTAAAAGCAGGAATGTATTATCTTATTGTAAAAATGTTAAAACGGCCATATCAGTACGTGCTGCAAACCTGTCGTGGCGCGTTTCCGATTGTTCACTGTATCGAGACAGAAACCAGTACAACTCGGAGACAGTAAGCTTTTCATACGTATTTCAATTCATTAAAAAGCAATTTACGGAGAGACACAAGGTATAATGTTAGCCGATCGGTACATGTTTGTGGCCTCAGCAGTAGGCTGGACGGCTCTGATCAAGGTTTATGTGACGGACACTTAATGGAAGAGCTGCGGGTATGGTGCGCTTGTGTGTCCATTAATGACATTTGGGCAAATATCATTACTGTTGTAGGCATTTCAATTTATTTTAAATCTCCAAACCCGCATGACACTCACATTTCGCCCTGTGTACACACTGAAGTATTGGCAGCATAGTCATGAAATGAACATTTTTTGCGCCTGTTTCTACCTGTTGACTGCAATAGTCTGAACAGCAATTCTATTCCGGATTCTACCTTTGATGGTCGAAAGACGTGAACACATTTGTAACGTTTACAATATATTACCTATACCGTTACCATATTGTACCTATACCGTTACCATATTGTACCTATACCGTTACCATATTGTATCAATACCGTTTACATTATTGTACAAATGAATTTTATTGAATAGTACAAATACCGTTTACCATATAGTACCTGTACTGTTTACCATATAGTACTAATACCGTTTAACATATAGTACCTGTACTGTTTTCCATAAAGTACCAATACCGTTTACCATAAAGTACCAATACCGTTTACCATATAGTACTAATACCGTTTAACATATAGTACCAATACCGTTTACCTTATTGTACCAATACCGTTTACCATATAAAACTAATACCGTTTACCATATAGTACCAATACCGTGTACCCTATTGTACCAATACCGTTTACCATATAGTACTAATACCGCTTACCATATAGTACCAATACCGTTTACCTTATTGTACCAATACCGTTTACCATATAGTACTAATACCGTTTACCATATAGTACCAATACCGTTTACCTTATTGTACCATATAGTACTAATACCGTTTACCATAAAATACCAATGCCGTTTACCATAAAGTACCAATACCGTTTACCATATTGTACCAATACCGTTTACCTTATTGTACCAATATACCGTTAAAACATTGTACCAATACCGTTAAAACATTGTACCAATACCGTTTACCATATAGTACCTGTACTGTTTTCCATGTAGTACCAATACCGTTTACCGTTGTACCTATACCGTTTACCATATAGTACAAATACCCTTTACCATATTGTACCAATACCGTATACAGAGCGTGCCAGCATCGTTTACCATATCGTACAAATACCGTTTACTTTATTGTACCAATGTGACGAATGTTTTATTACGACCTTTTTAAGGCTCGCACATTCATTTGTTACCGCCGTTGTTTTATAAGCCCTGATATCCATACTCTCGTCTAACAGCTACGTAAGATAAAACTGGCATTGTTAGTGAACTTAAAGTGTTACAGAAGGCCATGACAAAAGGTGAAAATAAATAGGTATTTATATCGTTCACTTCTATGTATTTTTACCACGTACGTATATATACGCCGTTTTCCATATACGTTTCTATTGTATAACGATGATATTATGTTACCTCGTTACCATGGCCTGTTATGTTGCCAGTTATATGGCGAGTTTTAATGATGAAGTTATCATCAACTTCCGCTCCATTATCATCAAAAGGTCTGACTACAAGGAGATCAACGATAAATGAAACATCGTTGATTTAACGGATCGTTAATTGGCTTTGGAATTATCTGTAAAAAAGAATAAGCATATTGGTATATCTAAGGCATCAAGAACACATGGAACAGCGTTAATGGGGATCATGTGATGTCTTCAGTGTGACGTCACAATACAAAGCCGACTTATGACTGTGATGGCAGCATATATAACAGTTTGTGATTGCCAGACATCGACTGCCCTGTGTTGTATAACTGTACTGGTTATGCGGGTTATATATATCAGATTTTGCTCAAGTGACAAAAAATGTAAATACCGTCGTATGCACGTTACTGTTTTGATGGTGATAACGCACTTACAACAGAAGTCTGGTAATTATAGTGTCTGTTTTTTAAGCACTGGGATGGTGTACTGTCTTATTGATGACAATTTCATGAATATTCGATATTATAATTGTAATGTCTGCATGTGACGTTTTGTGTGTTCGTCTCTCCAGAAGTATTTTCGTAAAACAACCGAGGAGTAAGATATGAAAATGACCCTTTGGCTACCTCTATGTTTGTAGTAATGATTTGGTTATATTTATTAAAGGCAGTGAATGATCAGTTTTATATTAACATGTTGCATGTTTGCTTAGTCATTTGTTAAATTCTGTTATTTTGAAATAAAAAAGTGTATTTTCTAAAATAAATCAAAGTCGAAACCTAATATCGTAACAGGAAATGCATAAATTGTTTTCATGACAGGTATAACATATATTACACAGTATGTGTTGCCCTTATTGTAGGTTTATTGCTGTTTGTATTCCGTAAAATAGAGTGGTACTGGTTCATAATTTAGACAGTTCCTTCCGCTGGTGTATATCCCCAGTGTCGAAACCATTTTGGATTGTCACTTCGTTCATGATGTGTGAGTAAGTGTGTCTATGTCAGCGGTATTGACTGCCGGTCATTTTTTTTGTCGAAACTAATTAGGGAGCGAGTAACATTACAAGCGCCTGACAGATCGTGTCAAAACGAGCTGCTCGATGCTATATGATAATCTAGATTTATTTCAAGAACAATGCTGACCTCCGATTGTGATCTGAACCTTGTCAAAACCAAAACAGCGCTCTCGGCTAAACAATGTCATCGATTAGGGCCGAAATAATGAACAATTCCAGCACTCCTTCTGTCTATGGTGATATTGGTATGCCTCATAAGACAGTATTGGCACGCTCCATATGACAAGATTGGTCATTGGTACGCTTGCTATGCCGACACCGCTTCTCTTCTTATGACGGCATTGCTACACTACCTTCTATACATAAGTACACATCCTTTGACGCCATTGGTACGTTTATTATGACGACATTGCTACACTACCTTCCATACATAAGTACACATCCTTTGACGCCATTGGTACGTTTATTATAACGACATTAGTACGCTTCTAATGTAGACATTGGTATGCTTCTTATGACGATATTCGTACGCTGCTTATGAAGACCTTGGTATATTTCATTCGACGACAATGGCGCACTTCCTATGACAACATTGTGATTTCATTGTCATGTTACCAATGAAGGTTGTGTTACACTACCCAAGACGACATTGGAACACTGCTTATATCGATATTGGTTCATTTTCTTTGACGGCATTGGTATGCTACCTATGCCATCTTTGGTAAAAACACTACCTATGACGACATTGGTACAAAATTTAAGATGACATGTGTACACATACGACGACATTGGTACACTACCCTTGACGACATTGGTACACTACCCTTGACGACATTGGTACACTACCCTTGACGACATTGGTACACTACCCTTGACGACATTGGTACACTACCCTTGACAACATTGGTACACTACCCTTGACGACATTGGTACACTTCCTATGACGACATTGGTACACTTCCTATGACGACAGTGGTACACTTCCTATGACGACATCGGTACACGTACGACGACAGTGGTACACTTCCTATGACGACATTGGTACACTATCTTGAATTAATTAAAACGTAAGGCGTTTTTCTTTTTTCAATTTTCAATTTTATGAGGATTTTCGGCGAACTCAGGCGCACCCTTTTCTTATTCGATGCAATGTCACATGACTTAAAGGCATTTTATTTCCTGTAGACGATGACAGTCTTTGTTCCAATTTTACTTTTAATTGATTACTTCAGATATATCAAACATCTATTGTACGATGTACGAGTTCCTGTTTTCCTATAGATAAAGTTTTCATATTTAAAACTAATGAATTATCTTTGTATACATGGTGCGAGTAAAACACTAACTCCAATCGAACGAGAAAATTTAAGGAATTGGAATGTTACAACAAATGATATATATAGATATATACAAATCACAATTGTCAATATCGAAACCCATTCATACGTAAACATACACGCATATGCACGCAAGGTCATTGTAAGAAAATAGAAACAAAATTGGGCTATACAACAGTGTTATTTGTGCACTGACATTTGTCCCTGGGTTTACATGTAGTTTAGGAAACATATACGTAGTTTGATTAAATTTCTTTTCTTATAGGTATGCTCTGTGAATGAAGTAGGCCATAGAGAAACGCGCCAGGACGTAGAGGCAGTGAGTGAACCGCTCTTGTTATACATGGTATATAAACGTGGCGCTGACACACAGTACTTATCTTGGCGATAAGGTCCGTTCACGTTGTCTTAAACCGACAATTTATTCGTATAACAGTCTATACAAATAGTAGTGAACAATATGAAACTTGCTTGACCTAGCAAGGGTTAGAGATTATCATCCTGTAGTTGCCGTAACAAAGTCAAACACGTGCAAACACCATAGCAGAACACGGTGCCAATTCATTAACATACCTCATTAAACGTGTCTCATAAACGTTTTAAACACTGTGGTAAACTTGGCGATAATTCATTTACACGTAGAGGTAAAAACCTCATCTGAACGTTTTCACTTCATGGTTAGTTTGGTGCTTGTTTGCTGATCATGGTAGCTGTGGCGCTTTAGAATTTACACACCGTTGCTATTTCTCGCTTGAAGCAATACTCCTTTATTTTCTGTCAATGTAACGTTTAATAGGGGAGATGTTGAATAATTTCTTATTCATCACTCACATACGGTTTCTTCCATTGTTCGCGTCACTGATGGCGCTTGCTCTGACGTCGGATACAAGGACGCTGTGGTATAAGGCATTGTGTGAAGTTTATGTGTCTATTTTCCGACGAGCAACATTTTCGATGATTGAAGAAATTCTCTTCTATGTAAATTATGTCTGTTTCCTTCATGTCTAGATAAAATGACTTTACGACTGAAATCACGGTTTTGCTGATGCGCATTTTTCTTTAAATCTGTGATTTAGATGCTTATTTATAAGTTGCCATAGTAATGGGTATTGTATCACAAAAGCCAAATCTAGATAACTTCGGACAGCGGTATTGATATTATACACGAGAGCACAAGATAGGCACGTTTTGGTATATATCGCTTCTTTCCGCGCCAAACCTTGGTGCTGTGTGAGAGTGGGCACTGCGTAGGCGACAAATAGAGGTTACGAATGTGATGGTATAAGGCTTGGACACGTTTTTCTTCACGATAAGGCTTGCTCTTCAGCCCTGTCTCGGTCAGCAGATCACTAGTCTTTGGACATCGGATCACGGTACTAGTTCCAGAACAGCTACTCGTGACAGTCTCGCTGTCTACTGTGATCAATTCTGTACTGAGGCGTTTCTAGTAACTGAATATGTCGTTATCCACGAAGGAATACACTTGAAAACACTCTAAAATGGCCTCTATACCGAACTTGAAAGGTTGCAGAAAAATTCAATTGAGCGCGCTTTTGTAAGCGATCCTGCTGTAGCAGCAGGTCTTTAAGTATCTGGGATGATTGATTATTCCCGTTAACAAAATAGTTTTAGTCAGTAACGTTACACTCAAAAAGAATTTATCAGGTTTCTTCATCCAAATGCGAGCGACGATATATCTGCTGTTCGGAAACACTCGTAGTTTGCCCAGACACAGTGTAATGTTACACACCAATTGGAGCTTGAATGGTTTTAGTGTTCGAATTAGTGCAAAATGACACCATTGTCACTGCCTTCTTCATCCGTAAACATCTCCAACAGTTACGTTCTAAAACGTTTTAAATATCCACATTTAAACACAATGAAACCAACACTTGTAGGCCTGAGCTGTCAACACGACGGTTTATCACTGTTCAGAGACGCCATTTCCTGACCTTGTCCGATTCTTTACGCCTCTTTAAGTGCGTTTAACTGTACGCTCTGAAAGTATAACTGGGTTTTAACAACCCTATTGCACTTGAGTGTGGCACTGCGTCAAACCTCCTCCTGACCTAGCTTTCTGTTTAGGATGGCCAATGGCCCCACTGGACCCTGGAAACCACTTCCATTAGAAGAGTTCATTCCCCTTTGTGATGTTTCCCACAATTGCTTTTGCATCATGGCGAGAGATATTTTATTTGCCTGAAGGAAATCTCTCATGGAGATCATTTCGTCCGAGTTTCGCCTACCGTCCGAGTCACTATCACATTCCACAGTGACGGCCTTAGACTTGTTCATTTTAGACCCCCTGTGAATGTGACCAGGCGTTATGGCGTTTCGTCGACCTTTCGACTTTTTCCTCCTTCGGCACCTGCAGTTCAATTTTTTGATGATCCAGTTCAGGAGCTGTTTAATAACAATAGACGCCACGTTAAACAAACTGTATATACAGCAGCAACCTATTACTATGAATATAAAATTCCCGAATCGGTAAAGATGCACATTCGGGTAACTCTCTTTTTGACTTACAACATAATCCCCAAATCCTATCGTTGCAAATGTCACAAAACAAAAATAAATGGCTTCAAAATAAGTCCAGTCCTCCACAGGATGATACATTGCGGAAGCACAGCACGCTACTATAACTGCCCCAAGGAATAATATCAACATAACCCAGTATACCGAGGGTTTCCATGTGTCCAGCCGGTCGTCGTCCGATACTTGAGAACCACGTCTGGAATCATTGGAACCATTCGTTAAACCTTTTCGCTTCAGATCTCTCTCGTGTATAGACCGCAGTATATAAGCAAGGAACGTGATGATGCGTTCAAGAAACAGGTTAAAGAATAGAATGGTTCCAGCACATCCAAAGAATCCGTAGAATATAAGAACAATCTTGCCAGCGACCGTTCGGGGTGTCGTCATTCCAAAGCCTGAAACATAGGAAAGAAGACGGTATTGTTAAATGGTGATGTTACGGTGTGTCTTGTACATAATAAAATAACAAGAACACAACATTGATCTCGTACACAGAAAACTTTTTTCTGCTGTTAAGTACAAATAATAGCTATTGTTTTAACGCAATAACAACGCCTACTGCTGTTCACTCACTCAACAACGCCTACTGCTTTACGCACACAACAACGCCTCTGTAGTAACGTATAAACAATGCCTACTCTTGTAACGTTAATGTACGAGAATGCATACTCTTGTAACGTTGATGTAAAACAACGCCTACCCTTGTAACGTTGATGAAAAACAACGCCTACTCTTGTTACGTTGATGTACGACAATACCTGCTCTTATAACATTGATGTACGACAACGCCTACTCTTGTTACGTTGATGTACGACAATACCTGCTCTTATAACATTGATGTAAGACAACGCCTACTCTTGTAACGTTGATGAAAAACAACGCCTACTCTTGTTACGTTGATGTACGACAATACCTGCTCTTATAACATTGATGTAAGACAACGCCTACTCTTGTAACGTTGATGAAAAACAACGCCTACTCTTGTTACGTTGATGTACGACAATACCTGCTCTTATAACATTGATGTAAGACAACGCATACTCTTGTAACATTGATGTAAGACAACGCCTGCTCTTATAACGTTGATGAAAAACAACGCCTACTCTTATAACATTGATGTACGGCAACGCCTACTCTTATAACATTGATGTACGACGATGCCTACTCTTATAACGTCGATGAAAAACAACGCCTACTCTTGTAACGATGATGTACGACACCGCCTATTCTTATAACATTGATGTACGACAACGCCTACTCTTATAACATTGATGTACGACAACGCCTACTCTTATAACATTAATGTACGACAACGCCTAGTCTTGTAACATTGATGTACGACGATGCCTTCTCTTACAACGTTGATGAAAAACAACGCCTACTCTTATAACATTGATGTACGACAACGCCTACTCTTATAACATTGATGTACGACAACGCCTACTCTTATAACATTGATGTACGACAACGCCTACTCTT